GCTCGGCTGCTCCCAGATCCAGAGGGACCTGGAGGAATTGCTCCTGGAAGCCAGCCAGGACACGGGGCAGGAGCCGCTGTGAGCCAGGTAGGGGCCGCGCTCCATCCCGGGAATAGCGGAATTCCAAGAGGCGGGGCTCCGGAATGCCACCAAATACCCCGGAGCGGCCGCCCGGGAAGGGATCCGCCGGGAAGGGATCCCGTGGGTGGGATCCAGTGGGAAGGGATCTGCCGGGAAGGGATCTGTTGGGATCCGAGCAGGGAAGTGACCCGGGTGCCGCCGGCTCCTCGGCGTCGCTCCGCATCCCAGCATCATTCCGCATCCCAGCATCATTCCGCATCCCAGCATCATTCCGCATCCTGGCATCATTCCGCATCCCGCTGGAGGCGGCTCTGCCCCCTTCCCGATCCACGTGCCTCCGAACCCCACGGAATCTCCCTCCCCGCTCCTAACATTCCCTTGTTTTCCAGAGCAGCCCGTTTCCTGCCCTAAACTCTTCCCTTCCGGGAAGGCCTCCGCAATTCCCAGGGCGACGGAGGAAGGGAAGGAGACCGGAGAGACGGGATCCACGCGGAGCCTCCCCTCCCTTTCCCGGAGCCGTTTCTCCCCTTCTCCAGACACTACCGATCCCACTCGCATTTGCTTTTCCTCTCTTTCTCCGGAACGATCCCGGCTCCGGGACCGCCCACACTACGGAACGAGCCGCGTTTTGGGGACAAAACAGCAGAATAGGGGTCACGCACGACTCGATTCCCCGGAGGCGGCTCCGGAGGCTCCGTGGAGGATCCGAGCTGCCGCGACGGGCCGCGCTCGCGGCCGCAATGGTTATTTATTTGAAAAAAATCCCCTTTTTGGGTTCTTTTTTTCCCCGGTATCTATTTATCATGAGCTTCGAAGTTCCCGGGTGGGGATTGGACTTCCAGGACTGCGGAATTCCCGACTTTGGGCCCAAGCGGCGCCGTTTTCCCAGCTCGCGCTCCCGGTGTGCGGAAGTCTGCCCCTAAAAGTAGAAAAATAAGGAAAATATAAGGAAAAGGAGCGCCGATGGAAGAGGCTTCGGATGCGGGTCCTGCGTGGAAAAGAGGGATCACGGCCGAGCCCGCGTTGCAAAAACCTTGGATTTTTATCCCATTTTGGGGACCGACGCACTAGGAAGCCGGGGGGGCAGCCGGATCCCGCTGCCGGCCGGGAGCACCTCGCTCCTATTCCTGCCCTTTTCCCTCTTTTCCGGGAACGCCGCCGGAGAAAACTGGGATTTTATCTCTCGGGACTCCGGAGCTTTCGCGTAGCCGCTGCGACCTTTGGAATCGGGGGGAAAAGAGGAGGAAAATCCCGGCTTGGAGACGCTTTACCAAAGGTTCGGAGGAGCTTTTCCGCTCGGAGCCGCCGGAGCAGCCGTTCGGCTTTCTCAGGGAGGGACCCCGGAGCGATGCCGGGATGGAAAATCCCATCCCACCGGAGAGCAGGGAAACCTACGCCGGAGCCGCCGCCGCGGCCGCCCAGGACTTCCCCCGCTCTCTATATATCCATTTTCCTCTATTTTTTCCCCTTTCCTTTGATTATTTTTGTTCTTAAGTGCAATAAATCTATCAGGGAGCTGAGGGCGCTTGGCCGCGCGGGCCGGAATCCGTGCACTGAACGGGAATCACGACGGGAATCGCTGCATCAACACTACGGGAGAAGGGGATTTATTCGCTGACCTTCCTCTTTTGGGTTGTTTTTCTTCCTCTTTCGGTTTTTGTTTTTCCCCCTTTTTTTTTTTTTTTCATTTCACACTGTTTTCTATTAAAGGAAACCCGCATCCGTCAGCTCCCGGCTCCGCGCTCCGTGCTGCCTCCGCGGCCCGGGAATGGCGGGGAGCCAGGGGGGCGGCTCCCGGGCGCAGGGGGAATTGGGGATTTGGGGGGAGATTGCGTGATTTAGGGGGGATTTGGGGTTTTTTGGGAGAATTTGGGGGGGATTTGGGGAGATTCCGGGGTTTTTCCCTGCTCTCTTGGACACCCCCCTCCTCCCCGCCGGGCTGGGGGGCTCCTGGGCTGCCCTTTCCTTGGGATAAACCCCGGGATTTCGGCCTTCCCCCCGTTCCAGGTTCTCCCCACGTCCCCCCCCCCACAGCACTCACTGATTTGGGGCG